CCCCCCCCCACTCCAGCTTCCCCTTCATCGAGCCTCCGCCGACGCTCGAGGAGCCCTTCCATCCTCACCACCACCACCACCACAGCCACCCACAGCACCCACAGCACCACCCGCCCACGCCACACGCCTCCCACCTATTGGCTGGGCCTAACCCCTTCCATGCCTCCGTGGAGGCCATCCCCCTGCATCCTCTGGCGGTGAGTAGGGGGGGGCTGGGTCAGGGGGTCAACCTCCCGCCTGTCCACGTCCAGCCCGTCCGGCACTACCCGAACCAGCCGCAGCAGCCGTTAGCACACCAGGGACCAGCGCAGCAGCCTCGAGTGGGGAAGTTTGATCCCATGAGTGCGTTTGATCACCTTGGGGGGGAGGGGAAGGGGTAGGGGAGCGAGAGAGAGAAGAGACGGCTCCGCGCGGCTGGCCTCCAGGAGATGGAGCTGGCGTCGGACGAGGAGAGAGTGTGGTGGAAGAATAGTTGGACGACGAAAACATAGCGTGTGAATAATTTGGACCACGGATATGGAATGTAAAAGCGCAAACGAGGGAAATAAAAATAAATCAAGGCAGCTGCAACGGTCGAACACGGTTCGGGTCCAGGCTTGGTTGCTCGCAAGCTATTATCCTTAGCATACGTTTACGTTTGGGGCTTCATTTATACAGATATATATCTATATATGCATATAGATATATCATATCTCATCGGCCGAAGGCGCCAGATCACAGTTGACAAGGGTCGATAGGATTCAGGACTGGCTTCAAGTGAGAAAAAGGACCGTGCCCCTGACCCGGCGTCCCACGCCGTTGCGGCCACGGCCCTACCACCCCTCTGTACGCACACCCTGGTGCTCCTCCCGTAGACGGAGCAGCTCGTCCTTGGCGCGATAAAAGGCCGCGATGTCGTCATCAACACTGTTCGCCCGGGCAGCATGATCTGGGGAGGGGTCTCCGTGGTGAGCGTGGTGGGACAGGGCCTGGCTTGCAGAGGATTTCCGGACCCTGGAGATGGACAAGCAAGCTAGATCGTCGCCGTCCTCCCCCTTCTCATGCAGTTTCGCGGGGCAGGTGCGTGTCCCCTGACTGCCAGCCTTTTCTTCGTGAGTGCCTTCTCCTTCCTCCGGAATCATTCTGGCTTCCGCCTCCCTCCTCCCTTTGGCTTGGGCAAACCAGGGCTCAAAAGCCGCCTGCAGCCGAGCCCGATGAGCATTCATTGCCCGCTGGATCCCCTCAACCTCGGCTTTCAAGTCACGAAGACTTTCATACGAGCTTTGGTACTCCCTCTTCTGCTGCTCGAGCTCCTGCAAAACGTTCGCTTCCTCTTCAGCCACCAAAGGACGAGAAGTCTCCTCCCTCCCCTCCCCTCCCTCCCCCGCTGCCTCGTCCTCCTCCTCCTTCCAGCGGCGGAGCTGCTCCGCGACCTTGCGAAGGCAAGCGACACTTGTACGAGCTTTTTGAACCTGATTCCCCAGCGTTTTGGCTGCTTTTACTTTGCTTTTCAACAAACGCGTGTCCTCTTCCAGGGCCTCGCGGCATTCCGGACGGTAACAGTGCTCCCGGAAAAATCGCAAGGCCTCCACGGAATCATCCAGGACATCGAAGGGGGGAAAAGGGAGGGCGTCGGTGTCTGCGTCTGGCACACAGGGTGCGGCCGAGGTCGATGCCTGCGTCATGGGGATCCTTTCCTCCCTGACTTCAACCCCTTCCCCGGCCCCTCGTCCAAATCCCCTATCAGGCAAGGGGAGTACGCCTGGCGCCGGATCCGACCTTCCACTCGTCTCGCCCTCCTCTTTGGTCGGCCTTTTCTCCCACACCATTCTCCGCAAGACCCGGAAGGCGTAGAAGACTTTGGCCAGCGTCAATGGAGATCCCAAGTCAGGGCCCTCTCCTCCTTCTATGTCTTTGCTCGCTGGTCCACCCCCTGATTTTCCTCCTTCTTGCTTTCCCCCTCGTCCTTCTCCTCCTCCTTGCTCTCGAAATTGTCCTTCTCCTCCTCCTTCTCCTCCACCTTCTCCACCCCTTCCACCACCACCTCCTCCTCCTCCTTCCTCCTGTCCTACCTCATACCCTGGCTCACATCTACTCACGAAATCGTGACAGGCGGCTCGCACCGCATCTTTTTCCTCTTCGCTCAGCGGAACCTCCTTCCCGCCCTTCTCGGTCCATCCCGCCTCCGCCCGCGCGGCCACCAGTTGGGTCTGAAGGCGTTTGATGACCTGAAAAGGGTCCAGATCCTCGTTCTGTTTCGCATCGTTTCGAATCTGGCCCACGCGCATGGCGAACCGACAAGTGGATAAGGATTCTTCCGTGTGGCTCCGTTCGGTCGCCACGGTCGCCACCATCACGGTGCGGCAGTTTCCCCCTAAACTGTCTCGCAACACGGACGTCATCAAACTGTTCCGGTATGGCACGTGCGAACGCTTCTCGTACAAAGCCAAAATGACGTTCTCCAAATAAAAGAGGGACTGATTGATGTATTTGGCCTCCCGTAATGTCTGTCCCCCCCTTCCCAGTCCGTTTCCCCCCGTTTTGTGGACCCGTTCTGAGCCCGCCAAATCCACCAGGTTCAACTTGCTCCGCCGCACCGTCTCCTTCCCCGGCCTCCGTCCCTCCAAGGTGAGCATGAACAAGCAATGGGAACGGGAAGACGCCTCGTTCGTGGCCGTCTCCCCGATGGCCCGGTTTGTGTCGCCGACAAAAAGCAGGTTCAACGCGTCCTCCTCCGTGCTCACGGGGTGCACGGAAAGCCCTCGGAGTTGGCAGTGCCCACCTTCGTCTTCCAATGGCACCACGCGAGGCAACCTCAGCGCGCCGCTTTCTCCCTGCCGTCCCTCCTCCTTCCGGTTCTCTTCCCCCAGCAAATCGTAGCCCATCTCGTTGTAAATTTCCAGGTAGGATACACACACCTGATACATGACCGGTGCTGCCTCCTCGTCCGTCCCGGCCCCTGCGCTGTGGAATCCCCGCCGGCGTATTTCTTGGAAGAGCATCTGTAATGTCCGAGGGATGAGTCCTCGGTCGGCATACCTCTCCGGGCCGCCGGTGATGGTAAATGTCTTCCCTGAGCCGGTCTGCCCATAGGCGAAGATGGTGGAATTATATCCATCCATGGCATTGAGAACCACCTCCCGGCCCAGGTGTGCAAAGACTTCGTCTTGCAATACTTCCATGCCCAGGATGCCCGTAAAAGTGAAATGATGCTGGGTCTTGTTGTTATTGACAAAGCCCGATACCGCCACATCCTGAGGTATATTGAAGGCCAAGCGTGTGGAAAGAGGGGAAATGTCGGCAGTGCCCGCCTTATCAGTTGATTGAATGCTTTCACCCTTGCCAAGTTGAGGAGGAGCAAGGCTGATGTAGGATGAGGGGCGTTTGCTGGGTTTGAGCCGCAAAAAAACTTTGATGTGATTGCTATTGTTCTTGCCGTTGGTATTAGTAGTGGTGATGGTGCTGCTAGCGGCGGTACAAATGCCGGTCCTTGCATTATCTAAGCCGGTACAAGCATTCGATACGTTCTGTTGGTCACATGGCGTAGAATTCAATCGTGCATGCGACGATTTATATTCTGAATGATACTCGATAAAGGTTGGCTCGGCATCACACTCTCCTCGCGTTGCATGATAAGAAGTAAGGACTGAACAGTCATTGACGTCATCAATTTTGCGCTCCCCGCGGTCCAAAGGACGAGACATTAAAAGGCTAAAAAGTTGTAGACTTACTTCCTCCTGTAAACTTCGGAGGACGCAATTTGAGGAGGGTGGCAGGGTCGAGCGTTTATTTCATTGAAAGGAGGTATAGAAAAAAAAGTCGTAGAAGATGATTAAAAAACTAGTTCTTGAAGTTCATCCCTTTCAATCATATTACAAATCGTTGGAAATCCATATTTTATTGCCATGTTTGCTGCGGAGCATTGAAGTGTTGCAACAACAAAAATACAGCCCTACCCTAAGGCCGTCGGCCCATACTGGCCTGGGGTCCTCAAGTTCGGCATCTTTGCATGTGCGTCAGTGTCGCGTCGTTCCCCCCCCCCAAAAAACAAGGAACCGACCAAAAAAGCATTTGAGGAAAATAAAGTCGATCATGCGAGCGCATTCCTCACTGGAATACGTCTTCAAAACTGGTTTTCTCGTCGATTTGCGCACACACGTGGCTTGTTGAGCGACAACGGATTTCCCTGCACACTTCGCCTACTCCTTCTAGTGACTGCTGCTTTTTGTTCTTTTTTCTTGCTATACCCGCAGCAACGCGTGTCATGACGTCATGACCGCGTAAGCATCGATGTAGCCGCTAATTTAACATGAAAATCTCAACTGTTACTCCTGAAATGAAAAAGATTCATTTATAGCTTCATTGTCGTCTAAGGCAATTTTCTCCCGTATCAGTCGGAGTTAACCAAAGCTGCTTATTACTACTACGAGTTTCTATGCACTTTTTGGCTCAAGAGTATTTACAAAACAAAACCACCCAAATTTATACAACATTTTTCATCATGTTTGTCGAACGTGAACATTGGCGTCTACTCGTACGGAAATTTTCTCTCTGAGGTCATTGCTGCAAGTTGATGTATCGTTGACGTGGTGTTGCCTCCCACCGGAGCACTACTCTTTGCGCGATGAGCAGGTTTTTGTCTGTGTTCCCCACGTTTCAATAAGACTCAAGACGTGAGGGAAATCTTTGCGAACTTTTTTGATGAAAGCATCGGGGGAAGGGAGTGATACTCGTTCAAAGACGGAAGCCTAGTACTCACACAAAAAGCTGTCTCTCTCCTTCATAGGTCCGACGCAGCCGGATGGATCCCTGATCTATGGGGGAAGAAACTGGCGTAGACAATTGCGACATACTGACTTGCGGGGATGAGGAGTGGTTTCGGGTCGTCGAATCAATACACAGTATCGTGGAAGGAGGGCCAAGCGAAGGAGGGGTCGGACAGGCGGAGACCGAGGAAATACCGCGTTACGGGCAAGGAAAAGGTTGTTTTTTAATAAAGGGGGGAAGGCCTGTGTGCGAGCCTTCTGGTTCCTCGTCGGTAAAGCATCCTCTTTCTGCCTAGTCATCGTCTGTGGGGGCGAGAGTACTTGCAGGTCATGCGCTCTCTGTGGTGACGATCATCCAGGATATTGCCTGTTTCCCCTTTGTAGAGACCCTGTGCCCAGTTTGATCCAAGGGAGGAAGGACTCCATCCTCTTCTCACCCCATGGCTCCGTTTGCTTCTCCCCTGCACCTCTTCCTCCTCTCCCACAGGGGCGTTGGCCTCTTTGCGCCAGAAAGCTGACAATGTGCCGGCCCCTACCTTGCAGTCCACTCTGGAGGACGAGAACGGCTCAGGAAGAACGACGGATGTGGGGCTCAAAATGTGCGCAGAAAATCATGGTCTGATGATGCAGGGTAACGAGGTGACGGAAGTCATGCCCGGCGTTCCTCCCGTCGTGTCCCCCAGCGTCAGTCTCCCTGACGCTGCCGTGCCCTTGGACGGGGGAATGCGCGCAGAGGCGAAGGCGCGGGCGGAGAGAAAAATGTCTCTGGTACAGCTTAGAGACAACCCCCTTGTGCAGGAGATGGCGGACAGGGCGG